AAGTGGGTACAAGTGGGCACAAGTGGATAAGGTAAAATGGGTACAAATTGGGTGAGGATACATAGAAGTTAAAAGTGCATAAGTTCAGCAGGGCCAGATACAAAGTGGATGAAGCCAAAACCTGTCAGTCTGAGTCTCTGCGTACCTTATCAGCAGCTGCATGTGAAGTGAAAAGCAGAGACTGACCGACTCGGAGCTACTCCTGGTTTTCACCGTTAGTTTAACGAGGTTGATTAGAAGGATTTGTATGTATTTTTAAAAATAAATACTGTATATATTTTACTAAGTTAACTCACTCACCACGAGGTAAAAATCCCACCTGAGTATTTTGTCCAGACATGTTCATTTGTAGAATTTCACAAATTTCAAGTTGTAAATTTTTACTCTAGGGACTAAACTAAAATATGTTTTATAAATGTGTGAATTTTAAATTGTTGTTTGACTTTTATTTGGGGCAGAGAATGAACTTTAGAAGACTGAAGTCTCGTGTGTCTGCGGTCTGTTCCAACCGTTATCGTTTCTGTCAACACGCTGAGATTTTAGCGTGACCTTTTCGCTGAGCCTCCTCCCCTCAATCATCTCTACTAATCTTAACAACGTCTTTTCTTAAGTAGCAGAAAAAAGAAACGCAATTCATCCACACATTAAAGATACGTCTCCTTCCAAATGCCACGCCATCCCTAATCTCCATTATCTCATTCGGGGTTGAAAGAATGCAGAGATCTGAAATTAGCCGCTGCAGATGGATAAAGATAGGTGGACCGGCGGCGGGTGTTGAATTTGTGTTAATAACCTGACTGTCGAAACATTCTTAGAGAAAGTGTTAAAGTTCTTCTCTAACAGACGTTTATACGACACCTCCTATGTAAGGAGGTCACGACAGATGGGAAATTAAAAACCTGATCGTAATGAAAGGTCTTTCAACTGAAACGTTCCACATGTGAAACCAGTTTCTCACTGTAAGTCGGGCAGACTATACTTGTTTTTAAAGTATACCAAGCACTGAACCACGCATCATCTTAGCTGCTCAAGATGTCTTTGTGCTAACACAAATCAAGACTCGTACATCGTATCTCCAGCATGAGCAGCAGACTATACAACCACAGCATCGTATACAAACCTTGTGTGTACATGTAACATGTCATAAAATTTAGCATCATCATTTTACTCATATAAAACAATATAACATTCTAACCACAGCATATATCTTCCCTGAGTGCTGAACATTGCACACAAACATTGTGGCTATACCGGCATGACAACATAACTCGGACATAACCAATCGAGACACGATCGGAAAGTTAACTCTCAAGACATAACCTTTGAAAAGGTACCACTTTCTAAAGACTATATACAACTGTAATCAGAAAAGTAACATGAAATAAAATTAATTTAATACATATTATAATTTTACTGCATCATTCTGTGGTGTTTAACCTGCAAGACCAGAATAATCGATCAAAGATCACTAGATCAGCAATCACAGTGCATCTTACCATGAATTTTACTTTAATTCAAGAATGAATTATGGTGTTTTTTCCCCATTTACATTTTCCACATACTACCATGAACCAAAGACGATACATTTTAGCCAAATGATAAAGAACACTATTATTATTAGTAGTAGTAGTAATGCTTTTTCTTTTTTTCCCACCTGAAACAGTTTTATAACCACTACATACACAGCTGTAACGCTCATGATAAGGGCCCGAGAGGCTTGCGACATCTCTGACTATTTTGAGATGAAATTTGTTGCAATAAAATTGTGAGCCTTTGCAACTCATGCAAGGAAAATGAGAACCCCTGCACACATTTTGAGATGTGAATGAGACTCTTGTTTTGTTTTTTTGTCCCATTCACCTACAGTCAACAGCTGCAACCCAGTGAGATTCACTGTTTGATAAACCTCAGACTTTAATGTTCATGATGTCATGCTGCTTTTATGGGTTTTTGTGATGGCAGCATCCATTTCTGGATTAAAGGTGGGTTCAGGGGCACATGAGAAATGATAACTTCCCAGTTTTCCTCTATTGGGGGAAGAAAATTAGTCAGATTTTCTGTTTGACAATTAAAGTAGTCCCTCGCTGCTTTGTGGTTCGTTTATCTCAGACTCGCTCTGTCGCGTTTTTTCAAAGTACGATTGAACATGACACATGACTGGCTGATTGATGGATGAGGCGCATTATAAGCTTCCTGCTGCAGCTGATCAGCTGATCTCCGTTCAGAGCAAAGAAGTGGGCGTGACCGAGAATGCTTGCAGGTGGCAAAGAGCAGAGGAGGCCGGGAGCTGAAATCATGACATGCTGCACTCTTTTAGAGAATTTAGAGTTTAGAAACATTGTTTAGAATATTGCAAGAGTGTGGGAAGGGTTTACAATGTCCCGCAATAATGAGGGACTACTCTACTGCCTTTGGAGACGGCTCATGGCAGAGAAATGAACCTTCAGTTCAGGACAACAGCTCTGGTGGACACTCCTGCAGTCAGCACACTCCATCAAAACCTGCAACATCTGTCAACACCTGCAACATCTGTCAAAACCTGCAACATCTGTCAAAACCTGCAACATCTGTCTCATTGTGCTGTGTGTTAAAACATTTTAGAGCGGTCTTTTATTGTGGTCAGCCATAAGGCTCACCTGTGCAATAATCATGCTGTCTAATCAACATCTTGAACTGCCACACCTGTGGAGGATGGAGGAGAAGAGCTCACCAACACAGATGTACATAAATTAATAATAGAGAGAAAAATACTTTTTGTGCACTTAGAAAAAGTCTTGGATCTTTGAGTTCAGCTCGTAAAAAATGGGAGCAAAACCAAATGTGGCATTTATATTTTTGTTCAGTGCATGTCAGAAAACAAGTATTTGGTGAGAACTGGGTATGAAAGATTAATATTTTGCTAACACCACAACATGTCTCTTCCTAAGTTAATTTCTAATAAAGGTCTTTGTGTTGTTGCTAGCCCTGTTAGCTTTAACTTCCTGTGTCAAAGGTCAGCTGAGCAGCTTCTGTTGTTCACCTCAGAGCCAACGGCCGGATCATCTCACAAGCGCTGCTCCGCTAATGAAAATCATTCGTTCCACTTTTTCAAAACGCTGCGATAAAGAGACGGGAACGTGACTTCACTAAACGTCTGCTGTTGCTACAGAAACCAACAGCCTGAAACAGAGAAATAAATGTCGGCCTGGCTGCCACGATCAATCCCTCTGATTGATTAAAGACTCCATTTGAGAGGAAGGAATTGGAGAGCGAAAGTATTCACACACCAGACCAGGAAGGAGCAGCTACTAGTTGATGGTTGCTTCGGTGTGGTAGATTAAACGGTTTAAGGGTTTGTCAGCTAAACGGTGGCATTCGGAGCAACTAAAGACCTTTAAGAACCTTAAAATGTACCGTTGCATGCAGCAGGACGGATGAAAGTGTTTCAACAAGCCCTCAAACTAAAAGTGGTTCATGTATTTAAAGTCTGAATGACTGAGTTAAAAGAATGTAACTTCACGTTTCACACAAAATGCATTTAATAGTTTCAATTAGCTCCTAAATTAATAATCCCAAAATCTTTGTTAGGTGAAGTCTGTTGGTTGAC